ACCTGACATGACCAACACTCGACTTTGGCCCCATTTTCATCTAGACGGGAGGTCAAGTTTGGCCCGACTTGATCAATCGGCTGGTCACGCCGAGCTGACAATATCTGCATGCCATAGTATTGATGTTTTGCATTTTTTGTAATATTATCTGATTCATTTTGCAATTTCCAATACGCCGACGTTTCCATGTTGATATATATATCGGTTGCCGAAAGGGGCAGACGACCTCGTCGCTCTCCACAATAAATTTGGGGTCCTAGAGGAAATGGACGTTACATCTTGTCATTCTTCCTCGCAGGTCGGAAGTGTGTCACCCAATAAAAATAAAGGAAGGATATCCCCCATTTCCTGTAACAAGAAATAAATATGAATCATCTTACATTTATACAATGGAATTGTCGAGGTTTTAGAGTGAACTTTAACGAATTATCTTTACTTATTCAGGACCATTGCCCGGTAGCTTTATGTTTACAAGAAACACATTTAAAAGAAACAAGATCAATATTAAAAACTATAGTATGTATAACCATTATGCTCAAACTGATAGAGCATCTGGCGGTACTTCTATAGCAATCAATAATAAATACATTCACAGCCAATTAAGTTTAAAAACTAATCTTCAGGCGTAGCTGTACGCGTTTCTCTCGATAAGACAATTACCCTGTGTTCTGCGTATGTACCCCCACATTATCAATTACAATCTTTAGAACTCATAAAATTAATAGAACAACTCCTTGTTCCATTTCTGATTGTTGGTGACTTTAATGCCCATAATCCGCTTTGGGGTGGCGACAAAATCACAGATAAAGGGGAAAAAGTTGAAGATGCAATATCGCATCATAACCTTTGTATACTTAATGACGGCTCAAACACCTACTTGCATCCGGGTAATGGTTCTTATTCTTCAATAGATACCAGTTTAGTAGATCCTTCTTTACTCCTAGATTTAAGCTGGTCAGTGCATGATGATTTATGCGGGAGTGATCATTTCCCAATCATACTTAAAGTACCCAAACCCTCTGAAAATAACAATGTTCAAAACTGGAAATTAAACAAGGCTGATTGGAATAAATTTGAATACTTATGCTTACAAAATATTTTGGATGAAAAATTTGAAAAACCATCCTGATCCTATTCAAAAATTTACTTAGAAAAAGCGTACGATACTACATGGAAATATGGTATTTTAAAAGATCTTTACAATGTTGGTCTCACCGTTCACGGTAGCTCAGTCGGTAGAGCGCTCGCTCCGTGATCGGGAGGTCGTGAGTTCGAATCTCGGCCGCGACAGACCCGAGTCGATAAAATGGGTAGCAACTGTTCCTTCGCCATGCGCTCGGCACTTTGAAGTGAAAGTTGCGGGTCTTTCGGATGAGACCTTAAAAACCGAGGCCCCGTGTCACGGTAGGCGTTGGCACGATAAAGATCCCTCACTGCTCAATGGCCCTGAGCGCCGAGTAAAGGTCAAAATTTGAAGCCCTTCGCCGGTATATGGTGACGTCTCTATATGAGTGAAAAATTCTCGAATGGGACGTAAAACAACATACAATCAATCAATCAATGTTGGTCTCAAAGGAAATTTACCTAATTTTATTAAGAATTTTTTAAATGATAGAACTTTTAAAGTGCGATTAGGAACTACAGTTTCAGACAATTTTGAACAAGAAATAGGTGTACCACAAGGAAGTATCCTTTCAGTCACATTATTCAGCATTAAAATAAATAGTTTGGCTGAAGTACTTAAGAATGATGTGCATAATAGTTTTTATGTTGATGACTTTGTTCTGTGTTATAAGTCCAAAAATATGAATTTTTTTGAGCGGCGGTTACAATCATGTCTAAACAAAATTCAAAATTGGGCCGATATTAATGGTTTTTAATTTTCAATGAATAAAACCGCGTGTGTGCATTTTTGTTTAAAGCGGAAAAGCCATGATGACCCGAATTTGCAATTAAATATGGAAATCCAATAAATGTAGTTAAACGAATAAAGTTTTTAGGTGTCATTTTTGATAATAAACTCTCTTTTATTCCACACATAAAGATGCTGAAAGAAAAATGTTTAAAGGCACTAGATATTATAAAGTAATAGCAAACACAAAATAGGGAGCTGATAAAAGTACTCTACTTAAACTCTATCGCTCTCTAGTAAGATCGAAATTAGACTATGGGTGTATTGTGTATGGAACAGCTAGGACTTCCTATATAAAAGCTCTTGACGCAATCCACCATCAAGGTCTTAGATTGTGCTTGGGGGCTTTTAGAACTTCTCCTAAAGATAGTTTATATGTAGAGGCAAATGAACCACCTCTTTTCTGGCGGACCATTTTTCTGTTAAGTGACTTCAACCATTCTTCCATGATGTAGGATGTCATCCATGCCTTTTTGTTAAATTTATAAACAACTGGTAGAGTATTTGGGTCAACTCTGTTAAAGCACCTTGGCTTTTGGCATTTCCCTATAACTAGAGGGGGCAGCTTTTCACCTGTCATACTGGCACAGAGGGCTACGGTGATCCTTTCCTTTGATCTTTGAGGCCAACCAGCCATTAGATGCTTTGAAGTTTTCATTTCTTAAATCTGGCGAATTTCAGAGCTTTCAATTTCAGCAGTGGGCCAGTCACGTTTATCCGTCTCCCCACCGCATTCTGAAACCATTTCCAACATAGGATGTTTATTTCCTCGTTGCCGGTCTTCTGTCGCTTTCTTTTCATGTCACCGGGGGCATTATTTTCAATATCTTTAATAATCTCAGCTTTTCTTTTAAGTATATTTGTAACCTGTGTCTTCCCAACATTGAACTTATTTGCAACGGCACGGGCACTCAGTCCCGAGTCCATTAATTTAATAGCTTCATGCCCTTCGTTTCGAGTTAAGACCTAAATTCCTCGTCGCTGACATTTTTTCGCAAGAATAACATCACCTATTTTCATTGAGTTATATACATAAAACAAACACTGTAAATACATTTCAACAATTTATTTGTTTACCCATCCGTATCTGAACTCTTAATTTAATTGATCGATTTACCTTCTCTCACCTCGAGCGTATAATTATTGTGTACATTGGTTACCTGGAAATCCGTGTTTGAAAACCCCGGATGTAAATCATGTGACCAAACAAAATGGCCGCTAATGCATGTCGGAAGTTACAATTTGGATCAAAAACGATGACTGCTGACCGCGTTAGACAGGTGACCGTTTAATAGAGGGTAATTATATAGGAACTTTCATCGGGAGGAAATAAAATGACTGCATACGAGAGGTGACTGCTTAATAGGGGTGACCGCTTCGGCAGTTTTGACTGTATATGTTTATGAATTACACTTAAGTATTTCTAACAAATTTAAGTAATACTTAAGGAACTTAAGAAAAAAATATATAACTTTAGTGATTTTTTAAACTTAAGAATATACTTGGAAGTTTTATGAATCCCAGCCCTGCTTTTTAAATAAAATGGAACCCGTAAATTTACTTACTTTGTCATTAGTCATTGCAAAATTATTTTGTTAAAAACATTCTGATTGTACACACAAGTACTCTGAAGTTGATATTTTAAAAAAAAATGCTTGAGTTCCTGATTGACAATAGCTATGTGGTTTTTGGAGACCAGGTCTTCCAACAATCTGTTGGAATTCTCATGGGTACCAATTGGCCCCGTTGTTAGCAGACCTATTTTTGTATTTATATGAAGCAGAATTTATTCAAAATCTTATACATGAGAAAAAGAAATCTCTTGCTGTGGCCTTCAACTCGACATTTAGATGTATCGACGACGAATTATCAATTAACAATAGTTATTTCCATTCATATGTCGACACGATATATCCCAATGAGCTTGAAATAAAGGATACCACAGAGTCTGACACATCTGTTTCATATCTGGATATTTTATTAGAAAAAGACGTTAATGATAATCTAACAACAAAGCTTTATGATAAACGTGATGACCTTAACTTTTCAATCGTCAACTTTCCTTACTTATGCAGCAATATACCCTTATCACCTGCATATTGGGTTTATATCTCAGTTGATTCTATACGCAAGGGCATGCTCTACGTATGAACAATTTCTAAAACGAGGTAAGTTATTAGCAAACAAGTTGATGAAACAAGAATATCAACAGTCTCATTTAAAGTCATCATTTCGTAAGTTCTATGGTCTATACAATGACCTTGTCAGCAAATACAATATATCATTAAGTCATATGCTGACTGACGTTTTCCATACTAATTGTTAGGCCATTATTTACACACTGAATTGTCGACGGATTTTTCTGTTATTTACCGATCATGACAAGGAGCACACGGCGGGTGTGACCGGTCGGCAGGAGATGCCCACTCCTCCATGGCACCTGATCCCACCTCTGTTTTTGGAGGTCAGTGTTTGCTCTGCTCCCGATTTGTATTGTTTTAATGGACTTTGAGCTTGAATACTGTTCGTTGTCTCCGTATTTCATTTCTAACGTTAAAAGATAATTATTAGATTTTAAAAAAATCAGATATTTAGTAGTTTACTGATTGTTGCGTTTCTTTTGCGTGTCAGTATATGTATGCAGCAGGCGAGGGACGTTGCAAAACGCTAAAGTAGATAATCCACAAAAAGGTGTTGACAAAGTCTTGAGCGGAAAAAATACTTCTATCTTTCAACCTTTCTGTGGATAATTACAATATGGTGTCTTTCATTATTTTAGATTTCATTATAAAACAAAGCTTGATTAATTCACCAGATCTTTATTTAAAACGACATTTTTTAACAGGAACCTTGTCATATATATATATATATATATATAGATACTACATATAGAGAGAAGGAGAGAGCGCAATGTCACCGCTTCCTTTTTTTCAGTTTTATCCGACATGTTTTATTAAAATACTGTCAAAGTTAATTTCAGACTCTCTCTTTAGAGAGAATACGTAAACATTTTATTGTAATTGTTCAAAGATTTCGAGAGGTGAATAACTAGTCACAAAATTTACTTCAACATACCATTATCTTGTAGAATCGACAATGATAAGAATCATGGTGGTGAAATATCTAGCCTTAGTTTCTCTTCTAACAGGTTAGTTTTAATACTTATTAGTTTCTATAAGAATGACTTAAATGTACCACGATTAGATGCTTTGTTTTTTTTTATAAAAAGAAAAATTACATATTTACCGGGATTAGAATTATTAATAAATAGATGTGCGACCTAGAACAATGAGAGCAGGGGCCATTTAGAGCCTTTTTGGCGTTGTGAATTTCTGAAAAATCAAAACTGCTGTCTTAGTTGAAAATTCACTTGAACCTTTGTTGACTATATATCTACTAAAAATGTAATTTTCGTGCTAGTCCATGTAATAATACGGACTTGCGCCATTATCCATGTATCCGCAAATCCTGAAAATTTCTTCAAAAATGGTCAATATTTTTAAGCTGTTTCAATATTTTGCATACAACCCAAACTCTGATCCAAAATGTTCAGTTACATAATGAAAGAGCTGTTTAAGAAGATTTTGATCCATATTTTAATTTTTGGATAGAGAGGTGGGCTAATATTTTAATTCTTTGCTGAAGGTACTCAAATACATCCGTTTTCTGCAAAATTTCAATTTCACAAAGCCTGTTTTTTCATAACTGGACCCTCAGAGGAATTTTTTAAAAAGGAAATGAATTAGCGCTAAATCTCTTCTTTATATTGATGTTTGAAATGGTACATTAGGTCTTGGTCATATGTGCAGGGTCATTTTATATATGGATAATTTAAGTGAACTTAGTTCTTTATAGTTAACCCTTGTATTCATGTGACACTTGTCTACAAATCAGAGTATACACGTGTTTTAAGTCAATATACTGCAGCAAAGTTAAAGATGAAAGGGTGAAATTATCAAACTATACAGGTCACGGTAGCCTAGTGAGAGGGCATTGTTTCGTGATCGGGAGGCCAGGGTCCGATTCTCGTTTGCTGCTCAACGTCAAATCTAAAAGTAAACATACGTTAGTGACCATTCCTTCGCGAAGCGCCCGGCAATAAAAATGAAAGTCACGGGTCTTACGGATGAGACCTTAAAAACCGAGGCCCCTTTTCACGGTATGCGTTAGCATGATAATGCTCTCACTATTCAACGACCAGAAAAGCCAAGTATCGGTCTAAATTTGAAGCTCTTCAACGGTAAATGAGGATCTCTCTATATTACTGAAACATTTTATTCAATCAAATTATACACTGTCTATACACATAAATAAAGGTTCTTAGCATCTGATATGAGAGATAACATTAACTAAGCTGAATGTCCATTATTCCTTTGTTTCATTATATTATCAAGTTAAAAGGTCGTTTCTTTCAAATTTCAAATTTTGTCCCGAAAGGTATGCTGATATTTTTACATTTCAATTATGAATTAAATTTCTTAGAGAAAATCATGATCGTTAAAACAAAATCTTAAAATTATGAACCTTGAAAACATCAAATGACCAATAACTCAAAACACTTACAAGAGTTCCAATTGCACGGATAAATCAATACTATATTAGATATGCACAGTAAGAACAGAAATTTAACATTTTTCTAAGTGATAATGAATTTGATTAAATGACATTGGCTCCCGGTCATGACACATATTTGGGTCAGCAATCTCTGTGTCAAGTATTGCCGTCCAACGTTTCTCCATTACAAAGTTATGGCCCGAACGTGATTTTCATACCTTTTTTCTGCCAGTTATCTTAAAACCTACCGGAATGACCTTGAAATATGATCAAGACACTTCCATTTTTGTACCAAGTAAAATAGGGGATTACGGTTAAACACTGAAATATGAAAACACTGAGAAATTCTTTACAAATCTTCTCAAGTATCACTGGGCCAGAAGAGACGAAACTTGTGTAAAAGCTTCCTGGGGTAGTGTAGATTATAAATTGTTCAAACAGGAAATCTGTGAGTCAAAGCTCACTAATGATGTAAATACACAAGTTCATTTATGGACAGACACAGGGATAAACAGCAAGTTGACATCAGATTCGTACAAAAATAAATTCCGCCATATGAAATGCCTAAACGAAGAGTGTGCTAAACTCTCAAGCATCTGTGATAAGTAGATGCTGAGAAACCTGCGACCAAAATTTGTTATATATGGTACGGACAAACGCACGGATAAACAGGAAGTTGACATCAGATTCATACAAAAATGAATCCCACCATATGGCATGCCTTAACAAAGAGTGTGCTAAAATTTCTAGAATCTGCGATGAATAGTTGCTGAGAAAACTGCGACGAAAATTTGCTATGTATGGTACAGACAGACGCACTGATAAACAGGAAGTTGACATCGGATTCGCACAAAAATGAATCCCACCATATGGCATGCCTAAATAAAGAGTGTGCTAAAATTTCAGTCATCTGTGATGGGTAGTAGCTGAGAAAACTGCGACGAAAATTTTTTACGGACAGACAGACGGACACACAAGGGTAAAGCAGTATACCCCCCTCTCCTCCGGAGCGGGGGTATAATTATTTCCCCTGGGGATGGTGGTGGGGCCACAATAGGGGATCAAAGTTTTACATTGATATATATAGGAACAAGATATGTTTGTGAAACACTGATGCCCCCGTATGGCAGCTTATGACGAAGGTTAAAGTTTCTCAAATGCAAGTCAAAATCCAGGCCAAAAGATAAAAAATGTTGGTATCCAAAGAAAGGTCTTGTCTCGAGGAATATACCTGTGAAATTTGAAAGCCCTTGCTGCAACTGTTCAAAAGTTATGGCGAAGGTTAAAGTTTTTTAAAAGTAAGTAAAACGTCAAGGTCAAGGTGGTTGGTATCCAAAGGAAGGTCTTCTCACAAGGATTACATATGTGAAGTATGAAAGCCCTAGCTCCAACCATTCAAAAGTTATGGCCAAGGTTAAAGTTTTTCAAAAGTAGGTCAAACTCCTAGGTCAAGGTCAAAGGGTCAAAGAGGTTGATATCCAGAGGAAGGTCTTGTCACAAGGAATACACATGTGAAGTTTGAAACCCCAAGCACCAACTGTTCAAAAGTTATGGCCAAGGTTAAAGTTTTTCAAAAGTAGGTCAAACTCCAAGGTAAAGGTAAAAAGGTCAAAGTTGTTGGTATCCAAGGAAGGCCTTGTCACAAAGAATACACATGTGAAGTTTGAAACCCCAAGCACCAACTGTTCAGAAGTTATGGCCAAGGTTAAAGTCTCATAAAATTTGGCAAAAGTAAGTCAAACTTTAAGGCCAAGGTCAAAAATGATGGTACCCAAAGAAAGGTTTTGTCACAAGGAATACACATGTGAAATATGAAAGTCATAGCTCCAACCAATCAAAGGTTATGGGCAAGGTTAAAGTTGACAACAGACAGACAAACAGACAGACAGGACAAAAACAATATACCCCCGGGAGCTTCCGATCCAGGGGCATAAAAATTCTTTAAAATCTTCTCAAGAACCACTGGGCCAGAAGAGGTGAAGTTTGTGTTAAGGCTTCATGATTTAGTGTAGATTCGAAATTGTTTAAATCATGCCCCCAGGGCTTGGGTGGTGCCACAATTGGGGATTAAAGTTTTTCTTTGATATATACAGGAAATTTGTATTTGAAATATTCTTAAGAACCACTGGTCCCGAAGAGATGAAAGCTTCCTGAAGTGTGTAGATTCTAAATTGTTTAAGTCATGGCCCCCGGGGGTTGAGTGAGGCCACAATAGTTAATCAAAAGTTTTACATTGAAATATATAGGATAAAAATCTTCTTCTCAAGAACCTCTGGACCAGAAGAGGTAAAACTTGTGTAAAAGCTTCTGAGGTAGTTTAGATTTTAAATTGTAGATTTTTAAAGTCATGCCCCCAGGGCTTGGGTGTCGTCACAGTAGGGGATCAAAGTTTTACATGGGACGATATAGGAAATAAATTTTGAAAATCTTAAGAACTTAAATCGTACCATTCATATGCACTCCAAAGTTGACTGGATTTATTTTTTTTCAAATTAAGTACTGGTACCTGGGTAAGGGTCACTAAATAAGGAGCAAATTTCACATAATGCATGTATACAGGAAAATAATTTGCTTTTCCATAATTGCATAGCCATGTTAGTCATAATGATGGTGAACCATCCCCATGTTGTGAGAATACAGTCACCTTTACGGTTAGAATGGAGCTATAATACTGGGTCACAATTTTTCATGGTAATATAGAAATCTTTTTGGAAATCAGGGCTTAAGTTACTCAGGTGAACAATGTGGCCCTTGGGCCTCTTGTTTAACAAATATTGTAGAATTTTGGCTTTTTGCAAGATATAAACATTTCTGGGTTCCATATTTCTTGATGAAGCAATTGTCCATTTCGTCATAAAGTCTGATCTTTAATTTTAATCTTTACTTTCAAAGGATGATTCTCTATAAGGCCATTTTCCGGCCTACGATAAAATCACTTAAAAATGTGATTTTATGTAACTTTAATCATTGTATTTCATGATTTTGATGTTTGTTTTTCAACATCGATCACCTAAGTCGCGTGATTTAAAGATCACAAACGGCCGTCAAGTAAAGAAAAATTGAGGGTAGGTCTATTTACATCAAGTTTCTATGCATGTTTCTAGATGTAAATGATCAAAAATTGTTTATTTATGTCGGAAATATATCAGACTTAAGTAATAAGTGCAAAGATTGTTTAATTTAAGGCTAAAGATATTTTTTATGGCAAGAATTTTGATGCATTCACATTTTGCATATTTTGAATGGAACTCTTTACAAAATGCACCTCGTATGATGTTGAAAAATGTTTAATTAGCATTTAATTCAAAGTATTATTTCATATATGGTTATATTGTAATTGTGTATTGTTTCTATAGATGTGTTACCTATTTTACACATAAAATGCCCATGCAAGAAGTGAGATTTCTAAGTTTCTATTAAACTATAAAAGTTGTGTATCAAATGGTTAAAGCATTGAATGAATTTTGTTTGTGATTAAATCAAAATCAAGTTGTAATTTATAAAATATAGTCTACATTTGCAAAAAAAAATAAAGAAATAAAGAATTCATTAATTTACAGGATGAAAATATAAATGCAAGTACATGTTTATAGTCAGTACATAAAACTCAGAACGGTTGTGTTAAAATTATATATATCGACGTAAAATGAAATAACATCGTAAGAGTTGCTTTGATGCAATTTAATTACGCATCTAAAACAATATATTTAATTTAAAATGCTATCTAAACTATAATACACAAATGTAGGTATAAAAGTCGAGCCCCCCCCCCCCCCCACGGCACTCCATAAAATGGAGTAGATTTTCAACAGTTCCTTCCACTACGCATATCAGAAGTTTTAGTATATCCATGGACTACCGTAACAGAGTTCTACAACATCCCAGGTACAAAATGGACCGTAAGAGATGACACTCCTTTCGCACTCTTGAAACCTGAGGATTAAATTCTCTTTCCGTGCTGCGTCAAGAACTAAGGTGTTTAACACGGGTAGTGACAGTTCCTTTGCTAAGTCCTCATCATTGAAAGTAAAAGTCATGGGTCTTTTGGATATTATCTTAAAGAAGGAGGTCCTGTCCCAAGGTAGGTGTTGGTCAATACTGAAACCATGCATAAATCAAAATTGTGACACTTTACCTTAAGTGGATGATCTCTTTATCTGGGTAAAAAATTCTAAAATGACGTAAAGCAACATTCAATTATCAATCACGTGACATTTAGGAACCCCTTTCCTCCTTGGCGTTTTATTTTCTAAGACAGAACTACTGTTCTCATAACTTATATTGATGCTACCAAAGAAGTGTGATGAATAGATTGAGTCCTCTCAACACCCAGTTAACAAAATACATGGATCCTATGTCACTCATACGGAAAAGTGTCCTTCTAAAAGGTCGAGGCGAGAATTTCCATTATGAAACCATCCCATCAGTAATTCTCTATCTATAAAAGTTACATGTGTACCCATAGAAAAATTAAGTTTATAACACAAATAGCAAATGCATCTTCCCGCTACAACAAAAATAGCTTTTATCATTTCTAGAACTAATAACAAATATGCAGTACTCCTAAGGAAATACAAATACAAAGAAGTAGCATAGATAAACTAAACTATCCTTATAAATAATAATAATTATAATAAGTAACTTATATTCATGCCTTATAGTTTATAAAAAATTTCTTTATTTCTAGCAGATAGTTCAATGAAACTTGTCTTCACGTAATTTCATAACAACCAGTCATTTCAGTCCTTTGATTTTAGATTTTTTAAGTAAAAAGTTTACCTTTTTTGAGTAAACATGCATGGCTTATATTAATTCTTAGTAAATCAATAGAAACACGTACTCTAAGTGAAAGTTTATAATAAGAAATAATCTACATAAGCTGATATCCTTCATTGTGAGTAGTTAGCTTTTCCTGCAAATGTCGTAAAAATGAAGCGAAAAGTTTTTATTTACATGTCATAACCACCTTTAACCAAGTTGATAATTTGGTAGTCACTTTTTATGTTCATAAGAAGTTTACATGCAAATTTTGGTGTTGGTTAAAGGTGGTTATGACATGTGTAGGAGTTACCTAACACACCAACCCTCTTGAGTTTTCCCATTACCCTAATGCTAATACGGACCGATAGTACCTTACTTTGTGACCCTATATCATAACAAATACTTTTGTATCATTAACCAATCAACATTTATCATTAAATTGGAACATTAGCCTACTAATTCATGCAGTTTTTAAGGGAAAAAATACTATTTGAAAATTTGAAGTCATTGTAGGCCGCAAAACGGCCTTATAGAGAATGATCCTTTGGTGTTGCCCGCGTGGCGCAGTGGTTAGAGCGTCTGCTCTAGAGTCGCGAAGTAAGGAGTTGATCCTTACGTCGCGGGTTCGAATCCCACTGTGGGACGTGGAGACCGGTCCTTCGGATGAAACCGTATAAACCGAGGTCCCGTGTCGCAGTAGGTGCTGGCACGAAAAAGATCCCTCACTGCTCAATGGCCGTAAGTGCCGAGCATAGGACAAAATTTGCAGCTCTCCACCGGCAAGTGGTGGCGTCTCCATATGAGTGAAAAATTCTCGAGAGGGACGTTAAACAACATACAAACAAAATTTGGTTGTAGAAAGTGTTAAAACGGCATTTATCTTGATAAAAATTGATATTTGAAATTAGTTTCCAATTTAAAATTTTCGAAATATTCTTTGGATTTTAAATTACACCACTTATTGAATATGCTGTTTCGCACTACGTCTGAAAATTTCTCCTTCAAAGCAGATTATGTTTTTGTGAGGTTAGCAAACCTTGCAATGTATCTTTTTAACCATTTTTATGAAGCTTTGGGATCCAGTATAGGTACGATAAATAAAACTCACTGATTACTAGAATGTTAAATGAATAAGTAATAAACACAAATGAGAATTAAAAATTAAGTTTGGACATCTTTATATCATTAAGCATTACATATTTCTTTCCTGAAAAGCACGATCCACGTGTCTGCAATATTGCATTATTTGATTTTCTTTTCTATAGGAACATCTGGATTTCTCGTCACCAATCACACCTGCGTTCATGACAAGTTTAACTGCCAAGATGGGTCGTGTATCCCTATTAATTGGCGCTGTGATAATGAAATAGACTGTAAAAGTGGAATAGACGAAGAAGGATGTCGTAAATATAGCAAAACTTTTGAGCGCGTTTACCACAGTTAAACAGCAAATCTTCGTAAATTTTCAAATCTTTGTTACAAGACTTAATAGAATTATGAAAAACAAAATTTAACAGATAACAAAACAACATGCAGCGGTGGTTCCTTTCGATGCAGCAGTGGTGCATGTGTTCCACACAGATGGCGCTGCGATGGGGAGATGGACTGTAATGACGGGTCAGATGAGCAGAACTGTACATCTTCAGGTATCTGATTCAATACCTCATTCTCCATCAAATTTGGAAGTTTGCTGGTTGAAGCGGCAATTTTAAATCATTTTCTTACATTCATTTTTTTTCAGTATCAACAACGACCACCCAGTCTACGACTCAGTCAATGATGACATCTATTATGACGACATCAAGTTCCACAGAGAAAACCCCACCAAGCCCAACCACAATGGTATGCCAAAATGTAGTTTTCTGACATTATTAATATCATTTTGCATTTTACATTAAAAAAAAACTTTTAACACTTTTGTTTCCCAAGAGACCAGATCCGAGTTGCCAAGACGAGCAATTAAATTGTCAGGTTTTAGTTGCCGACATTGATATATGTTCGATGCCGGTTTCTGCGCAACTTTTATGTGCTTCGACTTGCCATATGTGCAGCGGTTCACCTGGCACACAACATGTGACAAACAGTCATATCCCTCATACTAGTCATATGAACCCAGGTTTTCCAACAGCTGCGCCATCTTCTACAACTGGAAGTACGCATGCTCCATACACAGCTCCACCTACAGACGAAGCAATTGTGTCTGGTTGCGAAGATGCTGAAAATAATTGTGCTCATCTCGTTAAAACAGTAAATATTTGCAGCGATACGGTAAAAGCCAAGTTTTTGTGTAAAAGAACATGCAGCGTTTGTGATGAAGCTCCGGTTTTGATTGGCTAAATAAACGGAACTGTAAGAGTAAATTGAGGTCTTAGATGTTCTGTTGTGTTGAAATTAAAAAAACAGTATTTCATAGGTTTAAAAACAACCAGTACTGATTTAGAATTCATGATTATGGAGTAAACCCATATTATGCTTTATTAATTCTTGTCCTTGTAAGCCGTGTAAAAAATTGTTTCACTCATTAAAGAGACCAATATCGCATTACTCATCACCATTCTAGAATTCAATATTTTATCACTCTTTAAAGAACGGTGACGCGTCTAAAATTTTTTATATATTTCAATAGAGAAAAGACCTTGGCATAGGTATTTTCCTTGATAACAAAAGTAAGGGTAATTCTAAAAATTGTAAAATTTAACTTTTAAATGGAGGAAATTTAATAAAAATGCATTTGGTGACTTACATCTCTAGGATCAAATCCAACTCGGAGCATGTTTACGCATGTTTAGTGGGATTTATAGATATAAATGCTGGGCGATGTCATCCAGCTTGTCTCTCTTTTTCCTCTGCATAATTTCATTTGTTTTCATTCGAGGTTTTTGCAAAAGTCATTTTTACAAGCACGATTGTTTAATGCGAAGTAACTGAAACTCGTCAAAATTTATCAGAGAATTTGTATTTTTCTTATGACCAGTAATTTTTTGCGTACATCGAAACCTTATTTTCTGTCTTCTACCGGTAAAACCGAAGTAGACTATAGATTTCCGCTTCACCTGTGTGTCTGTCTATCTGTCAGACTTGTTTTCCGCAATTTTTTTTCTTGCATGCTCGTTTGTTTGTTTGGCCGTTTAACGTCCCTTTGAGAAATTTTCACTCATAATACCGGTGAAGTGCTACAAATTTAGACCTGTACTCGGCACGTGCAGCCTTTGAGCAGTAAGGGATCCTTTTAGTGCCAGCACCTACTGCGACACGGGACCTTGCTTTATACGGTCTCATCCAAAGGGCCGGTCTCCACATCGCACAGTGGATTTGATCCCACGACGTAAGGATCAACTCCTTACTATACGACTCTAGAGCTAACGCTCGAACCACTGCGCCTACACATCTAATTCTTGCCTGAAACGTCAGAATAGTCACTATTATCAAGGTTTTCAAGGTCTACCCTTTCCTACTAATCGTGAAGCATCAACCTGAATGTACAGGTATATCTTGAAACTTCGCAGAAAACCTTACACTATATTCTCTTAGAATTTACTGATTTTTCGCCTATACGAAGTACATGTAATTTTTTTTAATAAAATGCAAACAATGCATGATTTTTTTTTTACAAACATTGACCCGAGTACAATTTTACAATACTTCCAAGAAACTGATTTTAATTTTTACAGTAAGATTTAGATGTATATACTTTAATAAGCATTTGTTTGAAACGAAAAATTTAACTGCTTTCGTATTTTAAATCTCAAGTCCGGTGAATGGAACTTAATGCACCATGTCAAGAATTACAACCCCCTTGGCACGCAAAAGATCATTTCTCTGGTTTTCGAAAAAGAGCAAGCTCACAGGGAGCTGCCATAACAATTCCAAAAATTTTCAAAACCGGCCACGTAACGTAAATTTTACCGCCGAAATCTGGCTGAAATATTGCCGACTCGGCGTATACATGTAACAATCAATCAATTCAACATATTTGAAAATATACTCGAGTCTAACTTGATGAGTTATAATCTCGGTGGAGATTCGGCTTGGCTAGATATTTGGTCGGACGCCCACCGAATCTCGGGACAGTCCTTCATAATTCATGTCCCACCATAAAAAATTCACTAAAATCTCCGTTCAAAATATGGCTCTCCTGACGTAATTGTTTATCTCCTCGCACTAAAGACTTTCTACGATCTGTTTTCTTTTATGAGATACTGAACATCTATTGTGGCTTTTAAGTATTTTTCATAGAAATGAAAAGAGACCATAAAGCCGGGAACTCTTTAGTGCGAGGAGATAAACAATTACGTCAGGGGAGCCATATTTTGAACGGAGCTTTTAGTGAATGTTTTTGTGGTGGGATTTACATGCCTAGACGGTAAGCAATGTGAAAATAATAGTGACAGAGAGTTAATTAAACATCTAAATGACTTAATTGAAGCGAACGACAGTGTCGCCTAGGTGAATAATTCTTGATATAGAAGTTGGGGCTGAATTTCCAGACATGAATTATGTAGGACTGTCCCGAGATTCGGTGGGTGTCAGATCAAATATCTAGCCCAGCCGAATCTCCACCGAGATCAGATGAGTTACAGATCAAGTTTGTATTCTTTTCCTCTTGGATGATTCTTTTATGGAATTATAGTCTTGTTTTTAACGGAAACCAGATAATACTTGCCAAGAAATACACCCAGAATTTGTTCAAATACTAGCATTACAACGTCAGACTTTTGCAAAATAACGGATCATTTAACATGATAAATAACAAATAACTCTATGACAACGCATTTAATAACCCACCTTCTTCTGACAGACAAGCAGTATTTAGTTTAATGTCACTGTGATGTTAGTGTATTACTATCTGATATCGTTATTTCTTAGAATCACATGAAGCTTTCAGCTCTCCCCACTCCTCTTTGTCACATCTGCAGACAATGTTTTCAGACAAATTATACTCCTCTCCATACCCAATTAAAGAGTTGTCTGGGGCTTTACAATTTTGACCTGTAATTGAAATTTGTGATTATCAATTTATAACCCTCTAAAAGTGAAGTTTAAAATCTTTAAAGAGGTTTTTTTTTTGGGGGGGGGGGGGCTAGTTAAATGGTTCTAAGTGGAATAATGCTACTCCTGTTTTGTATTGTTTTTTTTTAATTTCTGGATCTACCGAAGGCAATTGCTTAGATTTCATATTACATTTAATAGCAAATCTAAATAATTGTATTTTCTCAATTATTTATAAGTCATTATTGCTGCTTCTCAAAACAATGAGCTAAACAAACTCCAGACTTTTATAATTTGTTCACGTTAACCATGATAAGAGGCAAACAAGTGATAAGCCTTACCGTTAGGACATACAGGACAGCAGTCCTCTGGTCCTTGGACTTTGTCCACACACTGATAGTCAAAACAGTCTACGTCTGCACATTCCACATGACCAGACTCGGAACAAACACAGTCTTTACATGGAGCCGGTTTGAAGGATCCTAGAGGATAAGGAGTACCTTCGTAAAAGCATATCTTCTGGTTTTGCCCTTGTCCAACGACTGACTGGTCTCGTGCAGTACTGGGTTCAAAAGGGGGAACAGTTGGTACTGTGGGATGTAACAGAAACAAAATAAGGAATAAAGTATAGTCCATTTTGCGATTCGAATTCAATCCGATTTAATCTAAAATGCTTGCTGAATGTTAAACCCAAATGTATATGTGCTTACCCACATGACGAAAGTCAATCAATTCAATGTTGCAACAAATGAATGTCTTTGTGTATAAATGCGTCACATCTTTTCCATTCTTTTGGTGCACCTCAACACGAATACAGCAATACAAAATATAGGATACCAAACATTTTTTTTGTGAATTTTCTCAACAATTTATGCAAGATGCAATAATTGTTGTATTGAAATAGCAATTTCGATTATTTATAAGATGCGAGCAAGAGATAATATCTTTTTCTTTAAAATATACACGCAATGTTATTTCTTAAGCATAATTATTATGCTTAACAAATAACATTGCGTGTGTATTTTGTGAAAGAAAAGAACAGGACATTACGATCCGATGTAGGAAAATTGATATCTCGTAACACAACGATACATAAAGGACATGGACATTTGATAGTATAAGTTTAAACATTTAATGATTTTAATACTAGAAAGGCTGATGCACAGATTCATGTATGTTTTTTAAGCCACGAAATGTTCTACTACAAAAAGCTAGTGTTCGTATTCCGCCCACTTGTGAGGAAGGAAGAACTGTGAAAATCATTTCACATAATTATATAATTCCTATATTGAAGCTTCACTATTTGTAACAAAAGGAACTTGTAAATTACATTTATTGGATTTGTATATACATGTATATATAAATCTGGACTGAGTTAGATCGAATTATGACAACTGTACTCAAATCTGACATTATTGAGAATTTATTTTTTTAATAGAATTTGCTGATATACTATTTTGCATAATAATAAATTAATTATATATCTATTCATTATAATGATTTTCACTTAGAGTCACTAATGCTGCAGTTCTGTAGTTCACTAGTCTGAAAAAAGTGAGATGAAAGTTTCAGATTACTACAATAATTGCAATCAATATGAACAATAGTATATACATATTCGACCGAAGCACACCTAGAAACAGCATTGTTTAATACTAAGTTTGAAAATAAAGTTAAAAATTCATCATGTACTTGTTTCAATGTGTATTAAAAAAGGACTTAATCGTTGTTCATCTTAGACTGGGTAAAGTTCAAATACAACATGTTAGTAATAAATGTTCCATAGTGACACATGTACATGTATATATGTAGCCGTAATTATCTCCTCGATTGAATGACGTCATTCAATTCAATCGTCCATTTATTTTCTAATAAGTAGCATGTACAAAATGGACAGAAGCCTTGGTAGATTACATTTCTTTGTTTCATATATAAAATGTATACATGAACATACAGAATATTTACTACAAACTGTTAAGTAGATTTAATCCTCTTTGTGAGGCACTGAATAAAAATGTTCTCAATTTAGACTTCTCTCTGACATACTGAGCACTTAGCAATTGTAGTAATTTAAAATAAACACTTGCTTTTTTTTTTTAAACAAAATATGTTTTATATATAGTTTTCTGAGAATCTGACATGTAGGCATTGTAAGACAAAATGAGGTCCATCTTCTACATCGTTAAAGCAACCCCCCCCCCCCCGGTTTTCATTAACATACCTTCCTTTTTGGCCTGCAATACATGTTTATTGATAAAATTTCCCTTAGTTGATGACTTAACAGTTAAAGACTTCTTGGCTATACACATGAAATATTTTTGTTTAACGATATATACGACACAATCCCTAGGAGTACCAGAGATTTGGATCAAAAGGCAACTTGAAGCAAGCTTATTAAAATCATTTTAATTTCAGTAAACCATTTGTCATTATTCCTTATTCTGTCTTCATAACATGCACTAAGAATTAGACAGTTATTTGTATTTTTAAGCTAAAGCTAATAAATCAGAATGTATAGTTTCCTTTAAAGATACAGAGACATTCTACCTTACTCATGATATACCATATTATTCAGGGTACATGATTTCATACCTTGGGCTTTTTTTGCAAAGGTTTGTATTTTTCCAATCGTTGGCCATGTGAAAATCCCATATTTCATCTCCTATGAAGAAAAACACTTTTTACATATACATGTATCAAAAACTGCACATTTAGTTTCAATATTCAGGTAATAGGTGTTCATTCTAGTGTTAATTGCAGCCCTTTCCGACCTTAAATCAGCATCATGCCTTTGATTGATATTAACTTTTCCATCGTGCTTAAGCAACAAACCTTAATAATTAAATGTTATTAACAATTTCTAGTTTTTGTTTCTTATACAAATGAAATATGTGGAGAGAACGAACAGTATTCAAAATCAAAAGTCCATTAAACATTACAAAGTAGGAGTAGAGCAAACACGGACCTCTGAGACATCAGAGGTGGGATCAGGTGCCATGGAGGAGTGAGCATCCCCTGTCGACCGGTCACACCCCCTTGTGCTCCTTGTTATGATCGGGAAATAACAGAAAAATCAGTCGAAAATTCAGTGTGCAAATAATGGCCTAACAATCAGTATGAAAAAGGTCAGTCAGCATTTGACTCAATGACAGATTGTATTTGCTGACAAGGTGATTGTATCGAGCATAGAACTTACGAAATGATGACTTTAAACGAGACTGCTGATATTCTTGTTTCATCAACTTGTTTGTCAATAACTTACCTCATTTTAGAAATTGTTCTTACGTAGAGCATGCTCTGGCGTATCGCATCAACTGAAAGATATAAACCCCCTATGCAGGTGATAAGGGTATATTGCTGCATAAGTAAGGGAAGTTGACGATTCAAAAGTTAAAGTCATCACGTTTATCATAAAGCGTTGTTGTTAGATTACCATTAACGTCTTTTTCTAATAAAATATCCAAATATGAAACAGATGTGTCAGACTCTGTGGTATCTTTTATCTCAAGCTCACCGGGATATATCGTGTCGACATAAGAATAGAAATAACCATTGTTAATTGACAACACGTCGTCGATATATCTAAATGTCGAAGGCAGCAAGTATTTTCTCATTACTGAAGTTGAATGGCCCTGAGTTTCGAGCATAGGTCAAAATTTGCAGCTCTCCACCGGCAAGTGGTGGCGTCTCTATATGAATGAAAATTCTCGAGAGGGACGTTAAACAACAAGCAAACCAAAAACGAGGCATATGCGAGGAAAATGTATTTGCTGTTACCATGGCACTTAGGGCCATTGAGCAGTGAGGGATCTTTTCGTGCCAGCACCTACTGTGACACGGGACCTCGGTTTATACGCAGGACCGGTCTCCACGTCCCACAGTGGGATTCAAACCCGCGACTCTAAAGCAAACGTTCTACCACTGTGCCACGCGGGCGACCATATGCCTCGTGAAATATGACCAAGGAACCTGATTTTGATAGTTTTACTGTATAAAGTACACCTTTTAATAGACAAAAGAATGAAAAACACTGTATTTGTATGAAATCTACGTTATTCCTCTTTAATTTTACATTTGAATTTTCTATAAAAAAAAAAAATTACATTTGAAAAAAAAAAAAAGTACCCTTGATTGTCCAGTAGTCGTGCGCTCAAGAGAGTATCAGTGCTAATGGGCATTTAAATGAAATCTGCAATTATTTCACCTGATGTTTTATCTTACCTTGTTATATTCTTATTTTCTGTTTAATTCAAAATACATGACAGCACTCTTATTAATTCATTATCGAGGCCCGAAGTAAGTGAGGTTCAATGTCGGCCATATTTGTTTTGGGCCAGTGGTCGTGCACCAGGATGTATCAGCAAATATGAGGCTAAGGAAAACAAATTTTTTGTTCATCTTTTTCATTTTGCTACTCAAATATCACATTTGTTTGATGCATGTACATTGATACATTGAAAATATAAATAATAAGATAAACAGAACATAAGAATATAGATGAAATGTATGGAAATAACGAACAGTATTCAAGCTCAAAAGTCCATTAACAATACAAATTTTAGAGCAGAGCAAACACGGACCTCTAAAACATCAGAAGTGGGATCAGGTGCCATTTAGGAGTGAGCATCCCCTGGCGACCGGTGACACCCGCCTTGTACTCCTCGTCATGATCGGGAAATAACAGAAAAATCTGTCGAAAATAATGGCCTAACAATTAGTATGAAAAACGTCAGTCAGCATTTCACTTACTGATAGATTGTATTTGCCGACAAGATCATAGTGTCGACCATAGAACTTACGAAATGATGACTTTAAACGAGATTGTAGATATTCTTGTTTCATCAACTTGTTTGTTAATAACTTACCTTGTTTTAGAAATTGTTCATACGTAGAGCATGCTCTGGCGTATTAAATCAACTGAGTGATATAAACCCCGTATGCAGATATATAATGGAACAAAAAATTATTAAGCATTCATCATATTTACATGGATGAATTTTTATATAAATTGTATTATGTTTATTTCATACCAACTTGTCAGATAATTAATATTATCATAAATATGTTTTTAATTCAAAAGATTCATATTCAATAACGAACAGAATTAAACATTTCCATTCTAACAAATAAAGTTCTACCTACAATGAGAACATTTGTACTGATCACCAATTCTTACAACTCTGATGTCAGTGCAGAAATTTAAATGTGCCCAGTGTCTGCAATTATCGCACTGCACCCACTTCACAAAAATCAGTGATGTACTTTGTCGTACTACGTCAGGAGTGAACTTCCTGCACACACAGCATAATTTATCTCAGAAATTGAATGTCCTCAGAGTCTTCGGATAGTGTCTTTTTTGGTGGTCCAGGTTCCTGAGTGTTATCAGATATCTAATGAGAAGCTTTCATCTTCTTTATACCAATCTTTTGGCTTTTTCCTGTATTTAATTTCTTAGGAGGGGAGGATTTGACTTTTGATTTTCAAAATTTTTTTTTCCTGTTAAGGTCCAGCTGATGAAGAGACATGCTCCTTGACTCTGGCTCAGTAATAGATTTGCCTGATGTGATTTTGCTTAGAGTATTCCATGGTTTTTTGCCTCTTGATCCCTCAGACTTCACATGAACACGTTCCTTGGT